GAGTCCTTTTGTAATATGAATTGTATGTAATTGTATATAATCGTAATACGAATTGTAATACGATTGTACACTGAAAGCATAGTCAAAGGGATAAAAGCAAATAGATGACTCTAATAAACAGATGACCATGTTCATCCAAGTTAAAATGAGGTCAAGTTAGAAAGTTTAAACCATTCCAAATAAAACAATGTTTTCTACATACTTGTTGGTAGGTCTGAACTCAAGACAACTTTTTATGCAAAGTTTCTCCAAGGCCTGAGTAAGACCTTTGCACTCCATAAAAGCAGAGATGCTGCTCTGATTGCTTTCCTCCTAGCGCATTCAATATCTGATCCAGTTCTCCCTTGAAAATAAATTGGAAACCATGCCATAATATCATAATGCACTCCCTGACTGGAGAGACTGTACAAAATTGATCTCTGAATTACATCCTTAAAGGAGAACATAATTCCTTTCATCTGTGGTTTACCATTACTTGAAGTTCCTCTAAGTTAAGGAAAGACATTATTTATTTATTGGCAAGTACATGAATTAATTACAGAATAAAAACACATTTAATCCATCCTGTTGCTCAAACAGCGTCATGGAAATATAACTGATAAAATGCAGTACATTGACGCAAGAGGACTGCCCAGCTTAGAGATTCACCACCAGCTACACAAGAATAAGCTCCAGCTCAGTTCAGGAACAAGTGACCTAAAGAAGTGGGAAATTATAAAATATTAAAAAAATCTTCCAGGCTTGGCTTGTACGGGAAACTTGAAAATTGCTCTTGAACCTTTTATTTCCAGATTGCTGGTATGAATTCAAGTTAAGTCAGTGAAACAAACAAACCAAATTGAAGAGATGAATACGACATGGTCTCAGGCCAATTCCAAACCACATCCCATTACAGTACAATCTAGGGGGCTTGTAGAAGCCAGTGGAAAACCTCTGCTGGCTTCAAAGCAGAAACACTAGAGAACATAGACAGCCACCCAATTGGAAAAGAATAGTTTGAGACATACTGGGCACCACGGGCAAGCAGGCTGGTGCTCATCAAGAAACTCTTATTTGTATCCTTGCTATTGCCTGAGTCAGTACGTTCAGAAACTTACATTTCTCTGTGCTTCTTTCATCTCTTTTTTTTTTTTTTTTTACTTCTTCATAAAAGTTCAGGGTTTTTTTTGGCAAAATGGTTGAGCTCTACTGTGGTTTCACTTAGTTCTAGTTTACACAAAGCCTGCCACAATGAGGTCCCAGTCTTGCCTAGGCACTTCGACTACAGCGTAATTAATATACAGCTATAACTATATCAGTGGCTCTTTATACCAAGAGCCAATACAGTGTGAGCAACCAACTGCTGTCAGATATCCTTTATCCTTGCATGGCATATCCATATCTGCTATATGCATAAGAAAATCAAAGCTGTGGATTCACTGAACTCAGCTCTCCTCTTTGCGTTAGTTTTATATTGACATTTGCTGCAATAATATAATATCAGTTTGGGGGAATTATAAGCAAAAAATCACACATGTCATTTTTTCACCTCATTTATGTTAGGAAACGCAGCAGTGTAGAGTCTGCCCATTCAGAACAACCTGAAACTAGAAAGGATTCCCTTTGGGAAAATCCTGAAGACGTTTGAGAAGGTAGAGTTTCATTATCCCAAAGTGAATCTCTGAACAAACCTGTTTGACCCCGCAGTGATACAAAACACAGTTACATGAAACACACATACAATGACAAAAAGCAGCAAGTCAAACTCCTCAGAAGGACTGCAAGAAATGTGACTGCAATCCCTAAGAAGAAGGACTGGGTCCCAGTAAATAAAAGAGCAAATGCAGCATGGTTAAAATTTAATTATATTTGGCTCCCTCAGAACAGATGCTCACAGACAGATTTCTGTTTCACCCACTAATGACTGTCATACACTATCATGTCACTGATTTCAGAGGGCTGCAGGGTTTATACGCTTGCAGGCAAAACTGACAAGACACAACTAAAGAATATTCACAAAATCCAACACCCTGCTTAGTCCAACGGGGATATTCAGATACTGCGATGGAGATAAGAGAACCAGACTGTGCCATGCCGTTTCAGGAAAAGAAATAATCGTCAGACTGTGCTGGTGCTTGCTACAGCTTCTGCACGTAAAAGCAATGGCCCTCCTGACTGTGGCTTGGGAAGCCACAGTGTGCTCCTTCTCTTCACTCTCTGGTCTGGGTTTCTGGATCATCACTTACTGCTGAAAGGATAACAGGAGGTAGTGGTACGAGAAGACAGACACAGATAGACAGGGGGACAGATGGAAGAGGTACATCTCAAATATGTGCAGGGGAAGGCAATCTGTTGGGAAGTCATATATGCCTTGTGTACTTCACATTGACCCAGAGTAAACCCCCTCCCAAGAAATTTAAGAGAGTCTTTCTCATTACTTCAGATATGAGCTCCATAAGATTTTATAATGGGCCTTGGTCAGCTTCAACTTTCTGCTGCAAGATCTAGAAAGAATGAGATGGGAACTGAATATTCATTCCTTAGTCCAAGGCCATGTTTCTCAAGCTTGGGTCTTCCCAGCTCAGATGAGAACACATCAAAATGGAGCTCGAGTCTGGAGTTATGCTGCACTGCTGCCATGAACTTCATTTCATCCAATTTTATCAAGATCAGCTTCTTTTTCTTACAGCTTAAGTAGGGAAGGAAGAGGAAAGAGAAAAACCTTCTGCCCCTCACCCTCACTTCTGGGGGTGGACAGAGCCTCAGTGTGAAAAAAGGGACTAACTTACCAACCCACACATACACATAAGGGTCACCACCGATGTTAAACATGTTCTTCAAATTCCAAGCAGGTATCCCAGGCTGTGTATACCAGCTCTGCCCACAGCAGCATTTTCCTTTCCACAAGGCACTAAATTAACCCCAGCACTGATAGGACAAGAACAGTGCTGCCATCTCCAAGGTGAAAGCAGAGCCTAGATTTTGCATGCCAGCCCCAGAGATAGAATAGTTGTTCGCTAGCTTGCCCAAGCCATAGCAGAAGAGTTAGCTTCCACTTCTCTCCTTCCATTAGGACCCATGTCCCTCCACAGTCCCACTGTGCAGGCACTACTTGTGTTTCCACAAAGGGAAAGTGCTCACTCTTCGAGGAGCTGCAGAAAAGCTGAGGTTCTGCTTTGAAAATGCCACCAGTACCCCTTGCCTATAGATACCCACACTCCCTGTAAATCTGACCAATACCCATCCTTTCTGTTTCAAGCTCCTTACAGTTGTACCATAAGAAAAAAAAAGAAGGAACATTAACAATTCATCCAAGTCTTGCTGACCTGACGGAGAAAAAGAAAAAAAAAGAGAAAAAAGGTTTCTAGAAAGCATTAAAGTGCATGACTCAGTAATGAGGAAATATCATTGGTCATGTCTGCCTTCAGAATGAACCTTTCAATGAAAAGTACAGTACATCTTGTGTCATGAAAATTCTTATCTATTACTTGGAACCAAGCCCCGGCTGCCAATTGATCTTGGCCTGTGAAGGCTCCAAACGAGATGGGCTTTGAGCAAGAATCTGCTCACATACAGAGAACAGCAGCAAAACCAGCCAGTCAGGATTTGTGTCAGAACAAGATCTGTGTTACAAATCTGGTTATTGCACAATGAAGCAGGAAAAAAAGGAAACGTGGAACTAATTTTCTTTGTGGACCTTAATCCTTCCCCCAATTCATAATCCTTCCCTCTGATTCATATGTTAAGCTCTTTCTTGTCTTATCTTGTCTGTTTTGATTGTAAGCTCTTCAGGGTTTTCTGCGCTTGTTCAGTGTCCACCACAAGACCAGCTGATGAATCTCTGGAGGATTACCAGTGTTCAGCTCACCTCTAACTCCAAAGCTGCCTTGATCTGTAATGGACTAGTGACATTCTGATGTAATTTTTAATTGTTCTCCTCTATAGCTTGTTTCACCAGTCCTAATGAACCAGTGGCTTCACAGCACTGAACAAACTCAAAATCTAGCAGGCTGTTCTACTTCTGTTAGAAGAATAACTCCTATAGATTTTTTCCTTCAGATCAGCCGAAGGCTGATGTTGAACACTTTTCATGAAGAGGCTAAAATACAAGGGCGTGCTCATTCTTCTCTTCAGAAAACACCATGTATGGGCTACAGCAGGGGAAAGGTCCTTATTACAAAAGGTAATTGCCTCATGTCAATTCTTTCAACCATTGTCTTCTCTTGGGGTTAAGCTAGGGGAAAAAGAAAACGGCCATTCCCCAAAAGACTTGTGCCAGAACAAACAGCCTTACGACCAAGCAGTGAAGACTGGCAGACATAGCTAATATCACCCAAATTATTCAGGTTGGGCCTGCTGAAAAAAAATGAAACTGAGGAACCAGAGCAAAGACTGTGTGCAGTTTTGGGTGCCTCAATATAAGAAGGACATCAAACTATTACAGTGTGTCCAGAGGAGGGCGACCAAAATGGTGAAAGGTCTTGAGGGTGAGACTTATGAGGAGCAGCTGAGGTCACTTGGTTTGTTCAGCTTGGAGAAGAAAAGGCTGAGGGGTGACCTCATTGCAGTCTACAACTTCCTCAAGAAGGGCAGCGGAGGGGGAGGTGCTGATCTCCTCTCTCTGGTGACCAGTGATAGGACATGAGGAAATGGAATGAAGCTGCATCAGGGGAAGTTCAGATTGGACATTAGGAAAAGGTTCTTCACTGAGAGGGTGGTCAATCACTGGAACAGGCTCCCCAGGGAAGTGGTCATGACACCAAGACTGTCAGAGTTCAAGGAACGTCTGGATGACACTCTTAGTCGTATGGTTTAATTTTAGGTAGTCCTGTAAGGAGCAGGGAGTTGGACTCAATGATCCTTATGGGTCCCTTCCAACCTGAGATGTTCTATGACTCTATTATATGCACTTCAGTCACATTTCATCTTGTATCCTTTCTCCATCTCACTCTCATCTCTCCTTCTCTGCTCCCATTCTATTTTCCCTTATTTTTTTCATCCAGCTCTATTTCCCCTCTTACCGCTCCAATTCCTCTACTATTAAGTACCTGTTCTCCTGCCTTTGATCCATCTCAATTACATAGACCATGACTGATTTTGGTCAAAGGCTGCCTGGCATTCTGGAGCTGAAAAGTGCACAGCTGATCCCTGTTGATCTCTAGTTATGACAGTAGAAAAGGCAAGAAAATACAGCATCAGCATCTGCCAACTGTCCTTGGGCATCTAGAGACTGATGGAGTGACTACGTCAGTAGACGCGGGAAGGGCTACCGATGTCGTCTACCTGGACCTCTGTAAGGCCTTTGACATGGTCCCCCACAACATCCTTCTCTCTAAACTGGAGACACGTGGATTTGATGGGTGGACTGTCCAGTGGGTGAGGAATTGGTTAGATGGTCGCATCCAGAGGGTAGTGGTCAACAGCTCAATGTCCAGATGGAGACTGGTGACAAGTGGCATCCCGCAGGGGTCCATATTGGGACCGGTACTGTTTAATATCTTCATCAATCACATAGACAGTGGGATCGAGTGCACCCTCAGCAAGTTTGCAGATGACACCAAGCTGAGTGGTGCAGTCGACATGCCAGAGGGACGGGATGCCATCCAGAGGGACCTGGACAAGCTCGAGAAGTGGGCCTGTGTGAACCTCATGAGGTTTAACAAGGCCAAGTGCAAGGTCCTGCACCTGGGTCAGGGCAACCCCCAGTATCAGTACAGGCTGGGGGATGAAGGGATTGAGAGCAGCCCTGCCAAGAAGGACTTGTGGGTGCTGGTGGATGAAAAGCTGGACATGAGCCAGCAATGTGCGCTCGCAGCCCAGAAGGC